AAATTAAGAACTCCCAAAATAAAAAAAATCCTGACAGTCTGTTCCACCATCATCCTATTTCTAGTATCTGATAATCATAAAAAGGCTTGCATGCACAAAGTTTATATTTTTCTTACTTTGAATGTGAATTATTGGCTTCCTCCATCTTCGTTTGTTTATCACTGTTTCCACAAGATATTTTCTCGTATCTGCAGCAGAAGATTGTGACTTAGATGTTCTTAGCTACATTGTTAGCATCTATACCCACATCACAACACCACAAAGGACATGTGATGAGGTGCATGCATTTTTCACTGTGACCTACTCAGAGAGTGTCGACAAGAGTCGCCATCACACTGCAAGTGTGAGCAACCAGCAATGAGGACAATGAACCGTCACGAGAGCTCAGGAAAGCCGAATCAAAGGGAAGCACAAATGGATGAATGAAGTGCGTGACTTATTTTCGCCAGCTTTAGGGGGCATATAGAATTGGACGGCAGCAGTGGAAGGCCGCCGGTAAAGAAACGTGTGCCACGGTTGTTTTGTGGCGGAAGAGATAAGTTTCGAAGAGACAATATCACAAACACTATCTCGGGCTGGTCCCCGCACATCATTCCGTGCATCTTTTTGGGGGATGTATGTAATTGGTTTTTCTGTTTTTTCTAATGCATGCATGTAATTATTGCTCTTATTATATTTGGGGTGGTGGGTTATGGGAGTCCGCAGTTTTGTACTCTGGTAATCTATAGGGTCATAGGTCAATCCAAGGTGGCATGATTCAGTGAGTAGTCATTCTGGCTGCTTGGGAATGAGCAAAATATTACCTGTTTCTTGATGAGCATGAACGAATTTATTTGTTGTGGCCGACTTGTTCTTCTTCTTCTTCAAATAAGTGGCAATGGTTAAAAATTTCGATAAGGATAAAATTATAACTCGATACATTAACAGCATGATAGAAAACTTACCTAGGATTTACTATGTCAGTAGTCGAAGTTCTTATGAAAGCTAAATTGAACATCAATTATGAATGCTAAATTCTTTCATATCTTGAATTATTCTTCTTTGAACTCGATGTTAATTTAAGCATTGAAGGGATCGAATCAAGATTTTCTACTTCAGATTTTTTTTGTCAGTGCGAAACCTCAACAAATTGAGAGCTCCACTTCGACTCCACCTCGAAAGTGAGAGTATAGTTTCATGGGTAAAACTAAGATGGTTGTCATGAGTTACAATCCACAGACACATTCATGCAGACTCTCTACGGTTGGGGCTTATAATAGAACATGCTACCAATTGTAACTTATCTCCGTCAGGCTAATCTAAACTTTCATTACCTACTTAGATGTGTATTCTCTAATTCAATCTTGATACCTGATTTTGCATCTCCAAGACACTCCAAACTGTTAAAGAGTTTCCGAAATAAAAATATGGCCAATTATTATCACTAATAATGATAAAATTGGAAAGAGATATGGAAGTCATAAATTTCACATCACGCAAATCCAAACTCAATTAACTCTCTAAATATTGTAGCAGTTTATGAACTTGACTTGTATATTTACTTTGGACAAATTCTTTCCAAAAAAATTCTGAATAAACAACATTGAATAAGAGATGCAAATCCGCCTAATATTTGAAGCTAAACTTGTGGCTATTGCAGCTGTTAACAGATCCATAAAATTGAAGCAACATTGCAATCACCTTCGCAATATCTCAGCAAGCTCAAGCTACACTAAAAGCTCCAGCTCTGTTGTCACTATCAATAAGAACAACACCCATAAAGCACTAATCCATAGACCATAGTATCTCCCAGCTTATAAAGCGATCCGATTTACTCTTAACTTTTGGGTTAGCATCTGACAGCATTATAGGGTCATAAGGTCCACTTCTCGAGAACCTAACCAATAGGAAGAGAAGCCAAATTCAGATCAGCCCACCAAGAAGAAATACCAATCAACTGAGTGCCCTCTATCGCATCTAGAGTCATTCATGTTTAATTAGGTGACAGCATGGAAAAGCCGATTATAGATCATGGTTTTGTTCCGACAGTGTAAGCATAAAATCTATGATATGCTATATGTAATACGAAAAAAAACTTTATACCATGATTGAAATCAAATAACATTAGATCG